GATGTTTTCCAGCGATATTGAAAGGGAGTGGTGCGCAGACAGTTAATGGGTTGCAAACAGGGAGCCGATCTGTCCGTGAGTACTGGACTGAGTTCACCATGCTTGTTCACAGATTGGGGTGGGACTTATCGGCGGAACCCATTCAAATGCTCTTTGAAGAAGGGCTTTCTTCGGCTGTGAAAGACGAACTTTCCCGGGCGCCCAGGGCGGAGTCTATGGACCAGCTGACCAAATCAGCGCTGGCCATAGGAGCGCGCCAGGAGGCGAGAGCATTGGAGAGGCGGGAAGGGAAGGGGAACGTTGGAAGGCGTTCCGCATTACATACATTCCAGAGCTAACTTTCCCACCGGCAGTGCCGATGGAACTCGGAACAGCGCGCGCGTGCAGTTTCAAAGCCCAGTGAGGGGGCAAAGAAGGAGGGAAAAGGCGCCCGGAAATGCTATCTCTGCCAACAGCCAGGTCACTTTGCCAGAGTCTGCCCCCAGAGGAAAGAATGGCAAGGGATGGTAGGAGCTGTGGATGGAAGAGAGGAAAAATACCGGAGCAAGTAAAAGCCAACGCCTGGCTGCCACTGTCAGGGCACAGCAGCCAGGCCAAAGAGCAGTGAGAGTGCCCACGCCAGAACCTCCTAAACCCGCCCTAGTGATAGAAGTGACGCTAGAGCTGCCAAACGGACACCCTCTAAAGATAAAGGCGCTGTTGGACTCAGGCAGCTCCTGCAATTTCATGAGCAAAGAGTTTGCAGCTGAACACCAGATACAGACAATCCCTTTAAGCAGCCACCTGCAGGAGACCACGATCGATGGCAGGGAGCTGTTGGGTGGCGAAGTCAGCTTGCAGACCGTCCCAATGATAATGAAGGTAGCAAGGCACACCGAACTGATAGCTTTTAATGTGGCCACCTTGGGAGGAGCTCCCATTATATTGGGGATGAGCTGGCTAGCGTTACATGATCCGCTGGTGGGCTGGCATCAGAGAGTGGTTTCTTTTGGTTCAGCACATTGCTTAGAACACTGCAAAGAGGGAAAAGGTTTGGCAGGGGTCCAAGCCACCCTAGCAGGGACTGAAGTAACAGAGAACGTGAAGGTACCACGACAATATGCAGATCTCCGTGACGTCTTCAGCGAAAGGAAGCTGACCAACTACCCCCGCATAGACCCTTTGACTGTCAAATCAACTTACTCCCTGGAGCACAGCTCCCTGTAGGCAAGCTGTACGCCATGTCAGACAGAGAGATGCAGGAGTTAAGAGAGTTCATTGACAAGAACCTGAAGAGAGGGTTCATCAGAGAGTCCAGGGCGGTGGGGGGCAGCCCAGTGTTGTTTGTGGATAAGAAAAACACGAACAAGCCGAGGCTGGTGTGTGACTTCAGGGCCTTAAATGCAGTGTCAGAACCAGTAGCCTTCCCTATGCCCAGGATTGACGACATTTTGACAAGGGTGCGGAAGGGAAAGATTTTTACAAAGCTGGACCTAAGGGGGGCGTACAACCTGGTACGAATAAGGAAGGGGGATGAATGGAAAACCACTATGTTCACCCCTTTAGGGGCATTTGAATATTTGGTTATGCCCTTCGGCCTACAAGCAGGCTCCGCAACATTTCAATCGTTTATGAACCACGTCCTGGGGCCTTTGCTTTACAAGAATTGTGTGGCCTTTTAGACGACGTGTTGGTGTATTCTGAGAATGAGGAGCAGCATGTGAGAGACGTCAGAGAAGTGTTGAGCAGGCTGCAAGCCAACCAGCTGTGGGTGAAACTGGAGAAGTGTCAGTTTCATACCAAGGAGGTGGAATTCCTGGGGTATCGCCTGTCAGACAAGGGATTGGCCATGGATCCCGGCAAGGTCCAGGCGGTGCTGGAATGGAAAACACCCAAAACAAAGAAGGATGTGCAGAGGTTCCTAGGATTTGGGAACTTCTATCGTAAGTTCATCCGAAACTTTGCCCACCTGACGGCGCCCATTACGGACTGTCTCAGCAGTAAGAAGAAGTTCGTGTGGACTGAGGAGGCGGAGCGAGCATTTGAGGAACTAAAAGGGCCTTCGCCTCGGAACAACAACTCCTGCATGTGGATTTACAAAAACCGATGAGAGTGGAAACTGACGCATCAGACAGAGCGATTGGGGCGGTGCTTCTGCAGCCAGGCAAGAAGGGGTCAGAGTGGAGACCGTGTGCCTTTTCGCGAAAGCTGAACAAATCCGAGAGGAACTACACGGTGTATGACCGAGAACTACTAGCCATTCATGAGGCGTTCCGGAGATGGAGGCACCTGCTAATTGGCACACAACATAAGGTGCAAGTGTGCACTGACCACAAGAACCTAGAGTATTGGAGGACGGCACGAGTGCTCAACCAACGGCAAGTGAGATGGGCCCAGGAGTTCTCCAAATTTAACTTTGAGATTAGTTACGTGCCAGGCCCAGAGAACATTAGGGCGGACGCTCTCTCACGCAAACCTGAATATTTGGAGGAGGGGGCACCCGAAGAGAGACATGTCATTCCAGAAGACCGCTGGGTGTGTGGGGCGGCATTGGTGGGACAAAGAGAACTGGTAGAGGAAACAGAGAATGATGAATACGCCCAGAATAAGCTCAGAGGTCTTAGGGGTGATGGAGAGGAACCAGGGGTTTCGAGGAAAGAAATGGAGCTTTGTATTACAAAGGGCACTGTATATCCCTGAAGGAGAGTTAAGGGGAGGGTACTCAAGCAGTTGCACGACAGCCCTACGGCGGGGCATTTTGGACAACACAAAACCATGTGGTTGGTCACCAGGGAATTTTGGTGGCCTAAGGTGAGGGAAGATGTACGTGAGTATGTAAGAGGGTGCGAGCAATGCCAGCGAGCCAAAGGGGAAAGGCGGGCGCCGGCGGGCTATTAGAACCCTTACCAACCCCAGAACGACCTTGGGAGGCAGTGTCGATAGATTTTATGACTGATCTGCCGAAGTCCAAAGGGAAAACAGCCATCATGGTGGTGGTAGACCTACTAACAAAGATGTGCCACTTTGTAGCTTGCTCGCATGCAGTCACGGCGGAAGAGACAGCGAAGTTATTTGTAGAAAACATTTTTAGGTTGCACGGGGTGCCATTGAGGGTGGTCTCAGACCGAGGAAAACAATTTACTTCCAGGTTCTGGAGGAAGCTCATGAGCTTACTGCAGGTGGAGGTCAATTTTTCGACTGCCCGGCACCCTGAAACCAACGGGCAGGCGGAAAGAGCAAACGGTGTCCTCCAGCAATACCTGAGGTGTTATGTCAATGACAGAGAGAATGACTGGGTAGAAAAGTTGGCGCTGGCGGAATTTGCCTACAACAATGCCGAGAATGTGTCCACAGGGATGCGCCCTTCTTGGCTAATTATGGGTGTCATCCCAGGGCTTTCCCAGGGGAGAGGGGAGAGATGGAGCGTCCCGGCAGCCGAACATTTTGTGGAAGAAATGGAAGCAATCCATCGTCAGCTCCAACTCAACTTAGAAAGGGCGAAGGAAGAATACAAGAGGCAGGCAGACAAGAACCGAAGGGAAGGTGAAACCATAAGGGTGGGAGATAGGGTGTGGCTGTCAACCCAAGGGTTGCCGTTCAAAGGAGGTTGTAAGAAATTAAGACCCAGGAGGTTGGGTCCCTTTGAGGTCATTCAACAGGTCAACCCAGTGGCTTTCAGGCTCCGGTTACCCAACCACATGAAACTGCACCCAGTATTTCACAGGTCGTTACTGTCACCGTACGAAGGGGACGAGAAGGGCTGGCCACTCGGGGACCGGTCGTAGAAGAAAGAGAATGCAGCAGCCATGTGGCTGAAATCCTCGACGCCAGGTGGAAGGGGGATCAGGTGGAGTATTTGGTAGCGTGGGAAGGAGAACCGGAGTCAGAAAACACTTGGGTAATGGCTGAAGATATCAATGACGAGGTATTGATAGAAACGTTCCATCAAAGGTTCCCAAGGAAACCTCAGCCTGTGGAGAGGTTCCGGAGGGAATACTTTGGGACCACTGATGAAGGGGAGGAGTTGGAAGGATTCCCGGACTCGGAAGGGGAAGGGGAGATGGACTCTGAGGAGGAGGTGTACTTCGAGACCAGGAACCGCAACAGGTTGAGAGAAGTGTTCGAGACATCGGAAGATGAAGGAAGTTCATTCCGGGTTTTGCCTCCTCACCGCCCGTAGAGGAGGGGGCGAGAGGGGGTGAAGGGGGCCCTGGAGGGGAGGTGGATGTCAGGGAACTGCCATCGGACGGAAGGGAGGTGAAAGGGCTCACACAGGTTGGGAGAGACGCAGCAGCTGAAGAGGGAACCAACAGGGAGGTGAAAGGGCTCACACAGGTTGGGAGAGACGCAGCAGCTGAAGAAGGAACCAGCAGGGGAGAGGAGCTGAGCTGGAGGGATGGCTCAGAGACACTTCCAGCGAAAACAGTGGGGAGGTTTCAGAACCTCCTGTAAGAACACCCACTCCTCGCCGGAAACTGTCACGCAGAGATTCCAGAAGACGTGTTTCCGTTAAGGAGCTTTTATGTTGGAAGCGATTACGAAAGCAACCACTGTCGGAATCTGCTAGTGACTAGAGCAGCCATGTCTGAGGGGCTCCGTCACAGACTGAGGTTTGTGGACTTGAACAAACTCTGAGGGGATACGATTTTACGCACAAGCAGCTCATCATCCCATCACATAAATGAAAATCTTCCAGAGGAATGATGCAGAAACAGATAAAATGGAGGAACAATGCACAGAATAAAATCTTCAAGGGTAACCAAGTTGGTTACACTAGGTAAAATGACAAATGAAAAATATTTCTTTAGGATGGGAAATCTATATTGATTCAAAAGAAAGATCCATGAGCAGGAACCACTAATGCTCTGCAAACTCCCTGTGGATCTCCCATTCTGACTGCACACTTTTCATGCATATATCATTTATGGGAAACATTGCAAAGCACTTCTGTGAAACCAACATGAGTCAGAGAATCGTAGAGCTGGAGGGACCATTAGTCAGCCCCCTGCAATGCAGGAATCTGTTGCCCAACACAGGGCTCAAACTCACAACCCTGAGATTAAGAGCCTCATGCTCTACCAACTGAACTACTACTTGGAGGATCAGGCGACACATCTTTCTGCAGGCTTCTGAGAAGCAAGTGAACCTCCTCTACACGTTATAATCAAATCAAATCAATACATCCGTACTCCTGCCAAAGTCATAGGGCTTCCTTGCCGTACCTCCTCGCACTCATGCATTTAATACAGATGTCTGCAGCGGGAAGACTATGGTGTAAACTTCTACATGCATATAATTTAATGGAAGCTGGAACCTTATATGATCAGCTTTTCCCCTGGAGATGTATAAAAGTGGGGTGCATTTATATTCACAACAATTCACATGAATGTAGAATTTTTTATGAAAATGGATATGCCCTTAGTTACTTTATCCAGCCTATGTTGGGCTTTTGCATAGGGAAACCATTTAAAGGAATAGTCCTTTTCTTATTTATTCCTATTCAGCATGATCGATAGGAATGCAGCACTTGTATTTGGTGTGCAATGGGTGCAGCATTTATGTGCAAAGACATCTCCATGAAAGACAACAGGACACTGCTTTCCATCCTCCCCCTTTAGTGCCATGCACAAGCACTCGGTATGCCAGGTCATCATACTCTTCACAACCACATGATGTGATGGCCACTTGAGACGAGGATTTGTTGTTTTTTAGACATTTAGTCATGTCTGACTCTTCGTGACCCCATGGACCAGAGCACGCCAGGCACCCCTGTCTTCCACTGCCTCCCGCAGTTTGGTCAAACTCATGCTGGTAGCTTCGAGAACACTGTCCAACCATCTCATCCTCTGTCATCCCCTTCTCCTTGTACCCTCAATCTTTCCCAACATCAGGTTCTTTTCCGGGGAGGGTCTTCTCATGAGGTGGCTAATCCTCTCATGAGGATTAGATTAATTCAATTAATGGAGGAGAAGGCCATCAAGCCTAGGAGCAGATCAAGCATGCCTCTGAATACCACTTATTGGAAACAACAGTGGAAGAGGTCTGTAGTGCTCTCGTTGCTAACCGCGAAACGGGATGGTTAGCTAGATTGGCTTTGGTCTGATCCAGCAAGGCCCTTCTTGGATATGTGTTTCTGTTCTCCCTCTACATGTAGGCTCTGTACTGTGTGTGCAGAATTCCATCTCTTAATATTCAAGGGAAAAAGTAAATACACATGCATGTACAAGACCCATGAGCTACTCATATCATCAAAACATTGATTCCTACACCACTCCCTGCAAATCCAGGTAGATCGTCTTACTAAACATACTGAGAAAGGCATGTAGTTCAAGACTAATCTGGGTTAATTTTGTAAAACGTTCTGTAGTAACTGTCAGTATCAGTGTTTTTGCTTCCTTCTTTGACATCTTCCTTATCATAATTTCATTGGCTAAAGTAGTAGCAACAGATATGTGCAATCTGCTGCGACTGCGACCTTCTGCTGCTTCATCTGAACTCAGATCTCAGCACTCTTCGTATTACCCCGGAAATGAAGTCCAATTTTGCTTCTGCAAATAAAACAGCAAGATTTACATTTGACATCCATTATGAGACAAAGTATCTAGACATAATGCAGCGTCCTGGGATTCTGTTGGTGGCATGTTAAGAAACTATGAACCAGATATCCTTGGCTGTTCCTCTATCTCCTGCAAAAAAACCCGGCTTGATTTAAGAGCTGAGCCAGAAAGGAGTGGAACATCTTCTGATACATTCTGAAGGGGTTCGGATCCATTCCCATTAGTGCTACGAAGGACCAAATTCATTTAGGAATTCGAAGAGAATGGGGAGGATGTTTTAAATTCTGTACAGTAAATAGACTAGAATAAGTAACTCTGTTGTAGAAGAAAGATGGAAGTCCAAGCTCTTCTCTAGTGCTCTTCATATGATTATGTTATGTCCCGTCCCCCCATTGTCACAATCCTACGCCTGTGATTTAACATTGCACAAAGTGAATGACTGTAGAATCATTCTCCGCATAAGTTGGCCAAATGCACTTATAATAAATTGCATTCCTCCACACTGGTCTGCTCGCTCTTCCAAAGAATCTGTAAGACTTCAGCTTAACCAAAAAATGTGCCTTAAAATAAATGGATAGACCAGGGTAATTCTGCAAAAGCAATTCAGACCGAGTTGAAAATATGTACCACAAGCATGTGACAAAATGTTTCTACCCCAAGTCTTTAGGCCACAAATTTTCCTTCCTGACACAGCACAGCCTTGTTTCCTCTGTCTCATTCTTTACTCTTCTTTGGCTCCATTAAAGTGTGTGTGTGTGTGTGTGTGTGTGTTTCTGGAGGATGAGAGGACATTTGAGTTCCATAAACTTGTGTTCAAACCACAAATGTAATTCTGTCAGGGACTGGTTCCTCAGGGTCTCAGGGCAGAATTGGTTTTTATTTTGTCTTTTCTGTTCTGGCTATATATATATATTTTCCATGAAGAGTATCTGGGCTCCTAAAGTGGGAAGCACTTTAGTTCTGGCACTGTAACTTTATAGCTGTAGTAATAGTAGCACTAGTAGTAGGAGTATCATCTATAGAATTTGGCCTCTAACTATTTTAAAGGCTTAACATATTTTATATTACACCTTCATGTGAACATTTGTGAGAATCAGAAGGATTGCTACCTCTGGGTGCACAGCTATAGTCATTTATTCATCAAAAGCAAATACATTGAAGCGTTAAGTTGAAAATAATCCTCTGCTATTTTTTTTTCCTTTATCCAAAAATGGATAATTAGCATCCTCAAGTTGTTCAGCAGTGTCAGCCCTACCATTAGATAGACTGAGGTGACTGCCTCAGGAAGAAGAAGCTGAGGAGCAGAGGACAGAAGGGTACTGCTGGAAGACAAAACAAGCTGGCTACCTTCAGCTTTGGTAGAAGATGCTGACTTGTTTCAAATTTCAGATTGTGGGGCAGCAACATCTTGTCCTTCACTTCAGGCAGCAAAATGTCTTCACTGGGTCCTGCTCCATCATGATAAGCCAGATATCCTTCTTCTATGGAAAAGGCCATAGTTCCACAGAATAAGAATATCCAAAGTGATAAATCTCTCCAGTATAAGGGAATTCAAAAAAAGAGATCAATGAAGGAAATGGGAATACATGGCTAAGACTATTTCATACATAAGAAGTGAGATGCTATAGATCAGAGCCAATACCATGCTGTATATTGTGCCTGGAGACAACACTATTGTTGTCATTTTAAATAACCTAGTTATTCTTAGAGCCATTTGAATATTCTTATATTATTATCATAAAAAATGGACTTATAAGAAAACAGTTGTAGCAGTAACTACAAAGGCATCAGGTAAGCCAAAAAATCACATGATTGCCTCAGAAAGGTTGTTGATCTAGATGAAGTGGCCAAGTCCTATGAATTAATTAATTTCTAAATTTTCTATTTCACCCTTCTATGATGAAATCAATCTCAAGGCCTCTTACAAATGAAAATAAATATCACGGCAGATACTATAAAAGCACACATTTCCTTAAGTATCTTTGAACTTCTAATGCTGTTGATTGGGCTGGGGGCAGGCTTCAAATAGAAAATGTCCCTCTTTCAACAAAAATAATGGCAAGAATAACATTTTAAACATCCAGTCATCCTGACAACCACCAGCACCATGAAAAAGGCTTCTGGAAATAATGGCATATTAAGTATAGGGCATATTTTTAAAACTTTTAGAAGTAAGCATTTCTCCCTCTCACTAACTTCTTCTTTTTTATCAGTCAAATAAATCTCTTCCATCCTCATTCAGTGCTATACAGTTGTCCCTTTTGCTTGAGACTTTTCTAAAGAGAAGACCTGCAAGCTATGAGGTTCTTCTGAGAATTCAGTATCTTCATGCATTTTCTCAGACTTTTTAGCTCCCTGTTCATCTCTTCTATGATGCCTATAGCCTGTTAACCCATAGCTCTACCACCATAAGTTTTGCAAATATGCCTTACCTTTGATAATGCTGCCCCATGCTGGTCTAAGAAAAGAACTGCTTTGGTACCCTCTTAGATATTATATATACTATAGTTAGCCTATCAGATTCCAAATTTTATTCTTTTGACGAGGTCTGACTTTCTCTCCAGACCTGCAGGAATGATAGAGCTCAGACAGAAGTTCTAGCTACCTCAGAATCAACAAAAGCAACAAAATGCTAAACATCAAAGAACTAAACACATTCTAGAGGAGTAGCCCTGTTAGTCTCTTGGAGCAGAAACATCAGTTTTTCTGCACCTTAAATTATGGCAGGAGATTTTGTGGATTACAGTCCATTTCATCAGACTATTGAAGTGTTAACCTGAACTGCAGGTACATATATGATTCTGGAGTAGGATTGAAAACAGTGAGGCCAGAAGAAAGTGAAATGCAGAAGAGACTCATTTTTTTTCAGACATTCAGTGAACATGTAGACTGGGGAGGGTTTGGGAATCAGGATTGAGAATTCTGTTTCTGCTCCTAGTGTCTGTACAGAACCTCTGCCTACACAATTTGTAAGCATGCAGATTCTGTAGAGACAATGGAATCAACAGTTAGAGCTTTGGGTGCAAGGACAGAGACCCTTCACCCTTCACTGAACTTCTGAAAAGTTCTCTACTGTTGGAGTATTTGAGTATCTAAAAGCTCTATGGAGATTAGCAAGATTTTTATGTTTGAAGAAATACCGAACAATATAGATCTAGTAACCACAAAACATTTTTATGTAAGGTTTGTCAGGCAGTTTTATGGATTTATGTGAGAAAACTCTCCCTGCTTCACAAAACCCATTGGAAGGGGCTGGGAAGGCTCCAACAGAGCGACTGCTGCAGACCACATATTGGCAGCACATCTGCATTTTCAAGGATTTCCATTTGCTACTCTTGTTTTTATAGTTTTACAAACATAGGCAACACATACTATTTGGGCAGTATAAGTACACAGCCAAGTACAAATGACGTAGGTTACAATCCATATCTATTGTGTAGTTTCTTGAGAAATACTGCTGTATGGTATGTTTTCCCTCAAACCAACTGCCATTAAAATTGAAAACTGAAGCCACATTCCACTTGCAGTTAAGCTGAG